GTCAATATTTGTAATTTTTAATTAATTAAAAATTTTGAAGGGATTATTATTGAAAGGATTATAATCTCTGACATTTTGGTGGTCTAAAAATATATTTTATGCACGAAATGTATGGAATGTCTTGCTGCTGTCGGACGTTGGATTGTTTTCCATTTGCTATCTGATTTTATCTTTAAAATCAAATCAGTGCCTATACCGTGTATAGATACATGTCAAAAATTGCAGCGGTGTTTTTCGTCACCAGTAAGATTGCTTTCGCGAACGGATTCAGAAGAAAATTCGTGCATCAATTCCATCTCTCTATCGTTCCGCGGCGGTATATATTGAACACGGAAGAGAAAAATCTCGTTGGCGCGCAACAAGCCCGAGGAACGAAGTTTTCCTCGGTTAACCCGCGCGCGCGCGCGCGCGCATGTACCGAACGAATCAGGCCGGAAATAAGGGAGAAATAAAACCGCACGGTCGCGCGGATATCTCGCGCGCTAAAAAGCCTCTGACGAAGATTTCATTTGCAGCGTTCACGGTTGGACTAACTCTTTACTTTTGTACGAATTATTCAAATGGCTTTTGCATTCTGCGATACGCATTTCACTCATTTCATTACTGATTCGAATGAAAATGCACTGCATTGCACCGGGGGATTAAAGCGCGCAAATAAATCTGCGAGCTGAAAAATTTAACTCCTAAATGCAGCGCTCGCAATTCCTGAGTACATATGCGCTTTCTCGATTTCCCGAATAGCTAATCTCTCTTTCACTTGGAGACTCCACGGTTGGAATAATAATTGCTGAAAAAATCTAGATAATTGGTTTAATTTCGCGTAGCCCGTGTCCGAAGCGAGAAACCCACTACGTAAATTGCTTTCGCTCGTGAGAGGCAAAGAGAAGGAGAAAAAAATGCCGCTGCGAGCTATAAAATCGCGAGATTCTTCCATTTTCATTTGTGGAAGCTATATGTCTCTTTGAAAATCCACTGCAGTTTTTATGCATACGAAAGAGGTCCCATTGACGCGATACTTTTGCATTGAAGTGATTGTAAAACATACGTCACTGCCATAAATTTGCTTTATTGTTGCAGTTCGCAAACTTGAATTGAAGCTTGCATGGAATGCCAAATAGAAGTTTAAAGGCTTAAATTTTACTGTTTCAAGTTATCTTAATAAAATTATATTCTTATAAAATGGACCAATAATTTACAATTATGATTTTCGGACAATGGACCGTATCTTTTAGTTGTCTTTTCTTCAGTGAAATTTTAGAGGCGCGTACAAACCACACATATCGGTTTTCTATGCTGCGGCGCCGCGCCGTGCCACGCTACGCCGGATGGAAGCGGTTCGCATAAATTTTTAGCCGGATGGCGAGCGTTTCCGTCAGCAGCGTCGTGTGCGGAATGGCTTTCACGTAGCGCACTGTCAACGCGGCTGTTGAAATATTAAAATACTCGTCGATCGTCTCTGAAGTCAATTCTTTTCATTCCATGCAAACGAACATTCTAGATATGTATGTACATATATTCACGTCACGATTAAATTCGCCGCAATGAGTTTGCATTTCGCTATGTCAGAGATAACGCCTACTTTTTTTCTGAAAATGTCATACAAATGGCATACACGTGTAATCAACAACTACATTGTAAGACTATATTATTTAAGAAACATATTTTTGAACACAAAAAACATACATTTCTGAAGCTGATATTATTTTCATTATATTTTGAATAGCTTTTTAGCAGTTTTTAGTAGTTTTCACATGATTTCCATTAATTTGATATACTTTCGCAATACCTTCGGTTTTTAAATATATTTCAATCAACTTTTTAGCTTGTTGTTCTAATCTTATTTTTATAAATTAGACCAGAATTATTATTAAAGTATGTTAAAAGCTGTAGAACTCTTTAAAGACCTCCTATTATTGGATATTACTTTTTTTAGCTAAATTGACGGAAGTCTTTCTATAAATTATCAGTATCAGTGACGCACCCAAGGGGGGGGGGGTTTGGGGTCGAACCCTACCCCCCCCGGAAACTTTTAACTATGCTCCTATTTTTTTATTTAACTTAACTAG